CCCGAGACTCTAAATAAAAAAAAGGCTGAGAAATTTTGAGACCTCACCCCTCTTTATAGACTGTCTGGTCTCTAATCGTGTTCGTAAGATTCGGTTAGGAAAAGCAGTTAGTATTTCTTGACGCGGTTCTGGAAGCCATCCTGATGGGTAAGCAAGCGCGTGAGAAACTACAGTGAATCTAATGAGAATCTAATGTCGAATAATATCCTTAAAACGGCTGTTCTGAAGAAAAAAACGATTTGTAAACTGAAGCTACACAGCAAAGGATTATATTAACAAATTTTGGGGGCCGTACCTGCGCTTACATTTCTCCAGACGCTTGCTTTAGATTTTCCACTTATTTGTCTCAACTCTGTAATTTTCCCGGGAAATTTTAGTCGGCGGGTGGCGGTTCTAGCGCCGATGTAGCTGCATGTAACACCCTCAAAATTTTTCGGTAGAATCCTTAGGAGTGAAACTCTAGTTTACAATTTATATATTTTTTTCAGAACAGCCGTTTTACCGAAATTATACATTATAGATTCTCATACAAACACGGCAAACACGGTAATTTCTCACACGTTTGCCTACTCGTCAATGCAAGATGACTTAAAACCAAACCCGTGAAAACAACCATTACCTCATCATCTTTAAAATGAAATGAAGGAATAAAAACTGAATACTGCGGCTCTGATTTTTTTTTTTTGCCATAATGACAAAACGAATCTGTGCTCTGTTCTGTTGCATAACACGCAGGGGGAACAAGAGACGTAGTCGTGTGCTTCTCCCTACTTCTTGAGTGCTCTATAGTAATACTAACCGCTTCCTAAGTGCTTTACAACAGAACAGAACACAGTCAAGGCTTCTTTATTTGTTTTGATAAAGAATCCGTTAAATTTCCCACGTATTGCTGTCTAGTTTTCAAAACAAATTTAGCTCCTGCGTTAGATCTGAACTTTATAATACAGTACTAAGCTTTCAAATGATTCGCTTAGAAGTTGCAGATTGTTAGCGACTCAGCAGAGATTTTTTTCCATTCTTTAATGTTTTAAAAGCCTTAGATGAATATTTTAAGACCTTACAAATACGCGACAATCTATTGACGTAAACAGGATGGAACAACTGTGATTTGAAAAATGATAACTGATTCGTACCACTTAGTACGTCACTTTCCAGCCTTCTTAATAGACAAGAAAAACAAACATTTGTTTTCATTTTTTATCTATTTTCCTTTTCATCTTCTTTTCATTTAAAACTGTTTGTTTACGTAAATTTCATTATTATTATAATTTCTTTTTTCAAAGTCACTTCGCTATATAATCAACCAAAGGAGTATATTTCTATCGCTATTGCGTTTTTAAAACATAACTGTGGCCGCGCTTTAATTATGCAAATCAAATAAAAACTTCCTTAGTTAACATAAATATTTAGTTCATCTTTGCTGATTAAAGAGTTTTCAAATTACAATCTTCATAACGTTTTTCCTTAAGCGGGTATTAGCGCTTTCTCACCTGACTGAACAATGTATCAATTTTTGTTCATCCACTGACTGACTGACAAACCAACTCAGCAGAAGGACAGAAGGCCAAACTGCAGGTTATTTGATACGAAAACATCCCGGAGGGAAAATCGGTTTATTGATTAAAAACGTTGGTCAAATTCTGTCAATCACTTTTCTGAACATTTTCCGTTCATATCAAGTTTCTTTTTCGATTTGATATTCATCTGTAGAGATGTGGAGGGAGATGTGGGAAAATATGTGGCTGAAAGGTCTGCAAACAGTAAATAACACGCAAAATTAAAAAAAAGGTTTAATTAAGATCTATCAGTTCGACCTCTATAGGCTAACTGTACAAAAATCCTATAAGTTCGACAAATAGGTGCATGCTTACACATTGTAGAACATCTTATGGGGATAAGCTTAAACGCTAGCTGACAATTATCAACATATAATGTGACTTTAATATCCTTTCTGTCAGAAAAAAAAAACAATAATCGCTGTCACGTGTTTATTTTTGTTTGTAGCTTCAGTTTCTCCGCCTGCCTGAGGTATTAGAAGCTAAGGAAGATCACTTTATCAGGAAACGCAAAGCGGGATTCTTCCGTTGAAAAGCTTTATAGCAAATGAGAGAAAAGTAACGTCTAATTCGCGTGCGCTCGCGGTGACTCCAAGTTCAAGGGCAGTCTATTAGCAACCAGACAGGAACTTTCAGAGTCATTAACCTCGATCTGCGACCTATGTAGTCACTTCAAATACGTGTCATTTCCAAAACCCCCAGGCTTGTCATCAAAAATATGTGCTTACATTAACACAAGTAAACCACCCGTGCGTGCTTTTTAACGCGAGACTCTTCAACTTTTCAATTCAGGCAGGATTAACAGACGTTAAACTTAGCTTAATGGTGAACCAGGAAAGCAACGAAAGGACAATTTTGATTGTAGGGGTGTTTTTCGGAGTTCTAGCTTTGTGTATTGTGGCTCTTATCATATGTTGTCTATATTGGCGTCGTCAACTCCAGAAAGAACGAGCGAGCGGTCGTGGAGGGTTTGGGTATAACGACGACTTGGATCGAAATCCTTCGACCACGGGAGCAACATCTCAAATTGAAATGTAGACTGGATGCCGCGACACTCGATTTTCTTGGCCTAGAGGAATTCGTCGCTGTAAATTTAATGGAACTGCTGTTTTCCTCCTTCGGAAGAAAACCCCATTATACTGAAATGAAATTATGCATGGAGACAGTCATTATGCCGGTCTATGAATTGCCGTCCGGCAGGGCCAAAAACAGTGGTCGATTTTCACTACTTTTTATGTTCTTTGGTCACCTTAGAAAATGGTTAAAGCGAATCGAGGATATCGACAAGGAGAAAAAGGAAAAAAAATAAATCCTTGATTGTTAGAAAACAAAACAGGACAGAATTGTCAGTTATCCATTAATAAGCGGGAGAACTTCCTAAATGCAGACAAAATAATTTAAACGCGAAGTCATTGTATAACTCCAGATTCATTTATTAATAGATATGTTCATATTAGTTACAAGTTCAACGTGATTTTCATATTCAAAATGTATTAACAAATTAAAAATTATCCTCAGACTGTTGTATATAAAAAGCAATGTTAATATGCACGTATCTACCATTGCCTGAATTTTTAAAATTTGTCAAGTGTATTATTTAAGAGATCAACTTTGCACACCAGTGAAGATCAATGTTATTGTTTCAAATTATGCAGTGCGGCGATACCATGGAGGAAGCAGGAAGGGCCTCAATCTGCTATTTGAATTTCTTGAATGCGTTTTCCGCAGGAATTGGAAACCATTGCGTCAAATTTCAATTCTTCGCTAACGGAAATTGGCCGACAGCAAGGAAAACATTACAATAATAATGATTCAAACCTTGTCTACATCCTAGGAAAAGAGTTTTTTTTTAATATTTGAACATTTGATCGAGCCTCGACAGTATTGACAGTTCGTAGCCGAAACATCAGCCCACTATACATCAACCCGCAATACACAACACTTAGTTTTCGTCCGATGTAACCCAATCGAAACCCAAGAAAAAATAAATTTTGTTATTTCGCTCGACTGAAAAAAACAGATGACTGAAGTGTTATTCATTTTAAAAAAGGCGTAAAAGACAGACAAAATTTTAAAATAATTAGCACAATATTTTAATATGGAGATTTCGTCCAAAATTGTTTGTTCATCTCCACTCGAGTAAGCAACAAGCGTGAAATGAACGGGGTAAATTTTTTTTAATTTTTGCCAGTTAATTTTTGAAATGTCGCATTAGTATTTGCCCGAACAATAAACCGCTAGATAGCAGCATGCGTATAAAATGGGGTGGCGAAATTAAGCTTCACTTCAAAACGAATTACATCTCAGGATCTACATTGAAATTCATAAACATACTTTTAAAAACCTCTAAACGTAGTTCATGAATATTTTAATAGCCAAGCAGCTGGAATTTAAAATATTACACGTTTTGCTTTCTAAGTTTGGGTACGTTTGGGTCTTAAAAAAGCGATCCATGAAAAAACTGCAACAAAGTCTCCCAGCAACAAAAATAAACGAAAAAATGATTTAATGGAGGATTGCAACTGCTTCCAGTGAAAGATGGCTAAGCCACTGTTATCGTACTAAAATATGCCTGCTACTTTTTTGCGACAGAATGATATAGCGTACTTGAAAAGTACACCGGTTCTTTCCAGTTGAGTGAGAAGTTCTCATTTTTCTTTTCCTTCTAAATATAGGCGGAGTAAAAATATAGGCTAAACTCTGGGTTAAATTATCCTTTCTTCTAAAAAAAAACAAGCATTCACTGACCCTTCTTTTTTCCCCAAGGCTCTATATATTTTTTTTGTGACCTTACCATTGCCACATCCTTGTCGCAACACAACCGACTTCAAAAACAAAGTTTTGTGGCTTAAGAAAACAGCTGACATTTCCGCGACGCTACCACTGGTTTCCCCGCGAAATGACGTCTGAGAAATGAGCGCAGAAGCTCCATACTGATGACACGACACTAGCCAGATCTGGGTAGTGTTTCTTATTGGCTGAAGTTTGCTTCGACCAATCAGAGGCACTACCCAGATCTGGGTTGTGACGCGTCATCAGTATGGAATTTCTGCGCTCGTTTCTCAGACGACAATCTGCGGGGAAACCAGTGATGGCGTTGCGAAATAACGGCTGTTTTCTCAGTTTAAAAGTTTTGAGGACATTTACCTGTCAAGGACTTTCAAGGATGTTCGCATTTCAATAAAGCATTTTATATCTCATTCTCTATACGTTTCAATGCGTTATAAAAAAATTAGAAACATTTCAAAAGTAAGGCAAATGATACAGAGATTGAACAAAGTTAAGAGGAATTATTTATTTTAATTTTTTTGGGAAAAAATGACTTACATTCTTCTTGACATTATAGTTTGTTTCATTTTTTATTTTTTCTTGTTTTTCTGTAGGTTTGGCGCTGAAACTTTTACTTTTCCTGGAATATAGCGTGAAAGGTCGTTGTCCTAAAGAAAAAAAGGAACATAACAAATTCACCTTTTTTTCATTTCTGAAAGAAATCTCTATAATTTTAACACACAGCCTGCAGATAAAGACACCTCTGTTTCATCGTTCACTGCTACGGACGTTTTGCGATTCGTTCCGTTCCTCGCAACGCAGTATTACAACATTGTTGCGACATTGTTTCGAATGGTTGTAACACTGTTCCAACATTGCCACGCTGTGATGCGCTCAAAATCGTCGTTGCGAATGAGAAACGAGCGCAGAAATTCCTCACTGATGAAACCTCACTTCCGAGATTTGGGTAGTGCTTCTGATTGGATGAAGCAAATTTTCAGCCAATCAGAAGCAATACTCAGATCTGGGCAGTGACGCGGTATTAGTATGGAATTTCTGCGCTCGTTTTTCAGGGTCTTTTGGCGGGGAAACCAGTGGTAGCGTCGCGAAATGCCGGCTTTTTTTTTCAGGATAAGGGCTAACTATATCTCTTACCTTCAAACTCTTGATCAAATCTTTTTCTAGCTGGGTTGCTTCTTTTGAAAATAAGAAAGTGCCCAACGCAGTTTTGGCCGCTAAAAATAGCAAGACGATGTTTAATTAGTTGGTGATATCTAACTGTAATCGATATAACTGAGTGTGGTAGGAAGACATTATGCCGGGAAACTGCCAACCTACCCATCCCCTAAGCTAACATTAACACTTACTTCTCACTTAAGGCAAAATGATGGCTTAGGGGAGGGGTAGGTGGGCAGTTCCCCAGAAACCTAAATTGGTCCGTAAAGTGTTAACTGTCGAGGGCATAAAACACCCTCTGATTACTGGACAATTCTTCATATCACACGCAAGCCGAATTCAATAACTGATTTATCGTTCAATCAAAATGTTCCTAGCCTGAGAAAACAGACAACATTTAGCGACGCCATCACTGGTTTCCCTGCGAAATGACGTCTGAGAAATAAAAGCAAAAATTACATACTGATTACGCGTCACTACCCAGATCGCGGTAGTGCTTCTGATTGGTTGAAGGAAATTCCCCACGCGGCACGATCTATCAGAAGCACTACCTAGATCTGGGTAGTGACGCTTCTTCAGTATGGAATTTCTGCGTTCATTTCTCCCACGTAATTTCGCGGGGAAACCCGTGGGGACGTCGCGGAATGTTGGCTGTTTTGTCAGGCTAAAATATTCCAAGCTGAAAACATATTTTCCCCTATATCGAATTCCCGCCTTCAAAACATTTGCATGTTATTAGACAGTTTAAGGATATGAACGGACGTCTTATTTTACATACATACTTCACAGAGAAGTTTCCATCCATCAAGCGGTACTTTGTTTAACCTCACTTTGTTTCTGAGGCAGTTAATCAGCTACTTTGTCTTCGCAAAGCGTACACCATATTCTCGCTAAAACAGCAGAGACGCCGCGCGTTGCCTTTGCGTTTCCACGTGACGTTTCAGTCTACTGTTTTGCGATTCGCCACTTTAGTAACGAGATGGCAACTGGAGCCGAAATGCGTCCCACAATTGTTTCTGGGATGGTTACTGGGGAAGCGCAGGTTAGCTATTGGCCAATTTTTTCCCCTCTCCCTAGAAACATTCCCAGAAATCTTTGTGAACGTTAACTCGACCTAATCTCCTTCCTTGTCTCTAGAGTGACATAAGACCAATTTCGATGTATTAAAATCTTACTTGGCTCCGAGGCTTGAAGGAGTAAAACAACAGAATCAATCTTGAGGTTAAACAATGAATAATATATTTTTTTTGTTTTATTCCCCTACGCATTGTAGCCAAGTATGAATTTTAAAATATCGACATTGGTCCGGTTTCAACAATAGCTGGTTATTAAGAACTAGCCGAGGATTTAAACCAATAAGGAACGGAGAAATATTTTGTTCGACTAATGATCTGTTTTTTTTTCTTTGTATATTTGCTTGCTTTCTTTTCCGCTTTGGCCTCTCTTCACCGTAAGGTGCTTAAAACCACAGTCGGGAAAACTGTAAGGAGAAATTAGTTTCTGGTAACTTTCTGAGCCAGACGTCTTACCTTTTCCTCTGCGAGCTGTTCCTGGAGTGAGTTTTACTTTATACCTGTTGGAATCGAGAGAGTATCATGTAAAGAATGAAGTCGTGAAGTCGTGAAGTATCCTGCAGGGGAGGGGCTAAGGGGTGGCACCCCGTTAATGCACCTATGACTAAGTGCGTTGAACGGAATTTCTGTTTCTTCTAGAAAGTCATATGAAACGACCAGGACTGAGTGCGGAAATAATTAGACTCAGTGGTGTACACAAGTAGGGAGCTCTTACAAATGTTGAATTCGCCCGTGTAAAGAACTAAATTAAAAACACAAACGCCAAACTTAAAACATAACAGAGGGCAAACAGGCTTCCACTGCCTTAAGAAAAGACGTTTTTGAGAGATGCACACTAACCGCAGTTGACGTTTGGCAGTGGCTTTGCCCGAATGATCGGGCAGATCATCTTAATAACGGTAAAGACACTTAGGAATACAAATTTGGTAGCAACAAAGCGATTAAAAGGAAAAAAGGCCTCACCTCCGGTTGACGGCGGGAACTTTCCCCTAATCCCGGGTTATTTTTTCCCTGGGTTAGGGTTCCCCGTGCCCCTTCCCCGTCTGCCCGAGGGGTTTCTTTACTTCCCTGCTACTTCAACCTCTACTAGGGAGGCCACTTTCCGGCAAGAAGAATGCCGGGGAAAAGTGCGCTGCAGAACCAGGGGAAAAAACAAGTGTCTTACTTGAAATTTTGAACAGCCGTGTATGGTGCACAGACTGGAACTGCAAACAATAGAATATCTTCAGAAATGGGACAACCTGTCAAAGAATCAAGGAGAGATACGGACTCCTACAAAAAGAAAAAAAATGGTAGAAATCAACAGCAGATAATCAAGACTTACACAAGTATTATACACGCGACGCGCAATTATTAATCCTACATCCCGAGAGGTGGGTTACAAAAAGAGACGCGGCAGAGAATTTTTAGGCTACCATCATATCGGTTCCTGTTAGAGTGCATCTACCGTTTGTGGCCGGGCGGGCATGTTTGGTCGCGCGCGGGCTCTCGTGTTGTGGTTTGATGCCAGCTTTTACATTGGCGTTCTCGCGAGTAGCGACCACTTGGAGGAGTCGCGTTGGCTTTCATAGAGAGCCTGTTCTCGTTCTACCGAATCGATTTCTCTGTAAGCACGAAAATGGATCGGATGTCATGGAGTACACTTAACGATTCCTTTTGTTAGATTTTTTCTCTATATGAACTATCTATGAGTTTGAGAACCTCCTATCATACATTATGGAAAGAACAATATGCATACTTTTGTGGCCAGATCTTCTGCTTCCTCATCCGAACCAACCTAGGTTAGATCAAAAACAAGGAAAAGCCATAAACAAAAGCGACTTCACGAGTTTGAAGACGTATCAAATTCAAGGAACCACATACGACTGTATACTCACCATAATATGATCGTTTTCATTAACAGAAGTAGTGGTGCCTATAAAACGAA